TCTCATCGGCTATCAGATGTCCAAGTTAATCAGCAACTCTCATGGTGCAGCTCTGATGGACCTCTGGTAAGAGAACTCTGATGGAGCAGTTCTCACAGAGCAAGTCTGGCCGAGCAATTCTGATGCACTTCTGATCTGATCCAAAGTAGAGCAACTCTGATCGTCGACTACACTAATACTTACAATTGAAAATTCTAATACATAAAATCTAATTTGGGGGTATTCTAACTTTCTAATCCTATAGCATCATCAAAATCTAATTACATTTATTCCTTACAATTTCCCCCTTTTTGATGATGCCAAAACCCTTAAACTATCTCCAGAGAAGTGCCTTTCACCATAAAGAAAATATGTTAAAAATAAACTTTCATTTAAAGTCTTGGTGGACACTTGGCATAGGAAGATAGCAAGAGTAAGATACAATCAATCACGCAATAAACAAAATAAGAAATAGCACAAGGTAACAGAGCATAAATAGTCAGAGTGCAATATAGAGAAAATTTGAAATTGCCATGCAGAAAAGAGGCAAGCTGGTTATCTTATTAAGGAAAAGTATTAAAAGCAACAAGAGGATAGGGTTTAGATATCTTCCTCTTCTAGTTCAGCTTCTTTTGCTTCAATTTCTTTCAGATCAGCATTTACCTTTGCTCTGATGGAGGCCAAGTTCCTTGGATTCTGACATTCTGACCAGGCAGGTTCAAGCTTGCAGTCAAGGTAGTTTCTGATGGCTTCAGAGATGTCCTTGCCAGGGATCACTTTCATTCGCCACCAGTCTTCTGCTTCTTGCATTGACCCACCATGGTTAATGATGATAGTCCCATCGCTATCCAGAATAAGATTTTCCTGTTGGAGAGGTGTCATGTGCTTCTTCATTTCTTGAAACTGAGCAGCATCAGGTTTAGCTAGATCACTTTTAAGCCATTGAGCAAGAGTGAAAGTTGCCTTCTTTCCTCTCTTTGATCTTGGCAGGGGTGGTCTCTGAGTACCAGCAGCAATCCTCTTTTGTCTTGCCCTTTCAAAGTATACAGCAGGATTAACCGCTCTGGTGCTAGTTCCTTCTGCAGTTCTGATGGCTCTAGCAGGTTCTCTGATTTCTTCCCCCTTTTTGGCATCAACAAGATCACCAAGCAGGAGTCCAATCTTGGAGAATTCAGTAGCATTGCTCTCTTTTATAGCTTCAAGGGTACCAGGTAGAGTCTGGGTCACAGAGGCCAGCCCTTCTATCAGCTCCTTTTGCTTGCCCACAGCCGATTGAATATCCTTGGTAGTAGCTTCAAGGAGAGTCAACTTGTGATCTCTGTCCTTTCCACTGTTTATCAGTTTGATGTCAAATTCCTTCAAGGTTTTGCAGATGTCCTCTACATCTGTGAGTTGCTCAGCATGCTTATCAGAGGACCATTGAAGATCATCCACAGCATCAGACAGCTCCTGAATAGCCTTGTCTTGAGCAGAGAGGGTCAGAGATTGAGAGTAGAGGACAGTGTGTACACTGGCTACCTCTGATGCAATGTTGTCTACCTTTTCATTTGAAGTTTTCATGAAGCTCAGGAAGGTAGTGGCCAAGGTAGAGAGTGTATTGGATATCTTGGCAAGTTCTGACTCAATGTTGTACTGAACCAAATCAAGATGAGCATCATGCTTCTGATTCAGTACAAGCATTTTGTTGATCCCAGCAATCATTTGGTCTCCAAATTCTTCAGCTGACTCCACAAACTCTTGGAACGGGATAAGAACTTCTTTTGGAGGCTTTTGCTGAGGTATCTCATTGATTTGAGGTTGAGGTTGAGGTTGATCAGGAGATAGAGGAGGAGTAGGGGTTTTTCTTTTGGCAGATTGAAGATCTCCAGCCAATGAGGATGGAAGGAATCCATCATTATCTTCAGTTGAGGAGAGAATCCTCACAACTGGTTCTCTCTTTTGTGCCGAGGCAGCAGATTGCTGAGGAGAGAGAGGTTTGGATGATTTCTGATGGGGAGCAGACTGGGATAGCTGGATTGTCTGAGTTCTGATGAGGTTGAGCTTGTAGAGCGGGGGTATTCTGATGTTGTGATGAGGGAGGAGGTGAGGGTGATCGGCTTCTGATGGGGGTTATCTGATGGCAGGGTGAGGGTTGTTTAGGTGAGGATTTCTTGTGAGATGAAGTGGGTGTTTTCTGAATTTGTAGAGGAGACGGAGTGGAGGCTGGTGTGATTGGTTTGGGTGAAGGGGATTGTAACACCCCCAAATTTCCCACCCAAAAATAATACTTTATTCAAAAGAAATATTAACTTTATTCGAAAACATCAGAGTTTTGCAGCGGAAAACCAAAAGGGAAATAGGGGCGTTACCGCCACACTCAGTTCTCCCTTAACCGAGTGCACAGGCTAAAACAAATTAAACTCCAAAAATAATTATTCACTAACTAAAGATATTGAAAATGGAATTACAATGATTTACTAATTGTATTTTCTAGCGGAAGCTCTCTCGAAATCAACATCATCATCAAAGTGTTACCTGTACAAAATCAAGTACAGAAAGAAAAACAAAAGAAAACAAAAATTAGCAACAATGCTAAGTAAGTTCCACCTAACCCCATAAAATAATAAATAATAAAATTTAATGTTTTTGAAAAATATTTAGGAGGATTTTTTTTTAAACCATTTATAAAATCTTCTCATAGCATAATTCACTAGTAAAATAATAGTACCTCAAATATAAGCAAATATTTCCCAACCACAAAAATTACAAAAATACCAAATATACGTAAAACCACCAAATATCATTACAATAATTCCAAAGCATAAATCAAACACCAAATATCTCAAAATACTTAAAAATGCTGATAATGAAGAGTACTCAACATAATCAAACCAAATCAAATCCAAAAGTAAAACCCACAAATAATTTAACAACTCAATCCAAATATAATCCAATCCAATAATCCAACAATTCCAATCAATCAAATACCTTAATTCACCACAAATCCAATCAAATAATATTCACCTCAAGTCCAAATCAAGTCAATCAAATAATCTTAATCACCTCAATCCAATCAAAGTCCAGTTCACCTCAAACCCAATCAAAGCTAGTGGAAGCCGAACTCCTACCTTAAGTGTGCACACCCCCTAAAAGGGATTCCAAGCCCTCCGGGAAGTAAGAAGCCCGAGTAGTCGGGATTTTTCTACCAACTACACTACAATTAAGCTGGGATACTCCGCTTTTGGGAAGTACCCCTGGTGGATTTAGACTTATAGCCATTACCACTCACCAATACCACATTTATCCGGATGTGGCAAACCGACACCACGGATCTCTCCGGGTGCTCACCAAAATCACAATTCTTTCTCAAAGTTCCAAACCAATATCACAACATCAACCAAAACGGATATGAAATCCAAAGTCCACAAAATAATCCACAATGAAAAATATTAACTCCAACAAATTTCACTCAAATGTACCATACATTAAAATTTCGCAAAAGAGCCAAAATATAGAATACTTCACAAATAGCTCAAATCCACACAACAATTCACACGATAACTCAAATACTCAAAATATATCCAATACGGAATACTCAAATAACAATTCATAACAATTTCCAAATACTCAAATAAAAATCTCAATCGCAACTAATTTAATACGTAAATGTAATTGCTAGAAATCTCATCAAATACTCAAATAATTCAAATAAATAATCATAAATAGATTTGCGAGGAAAAGGTATAATTTTGGTTGATGTGAAACTTACCTCAAACTCCAAGTACTCTAGTGAAATCTTCTACGTTGCTCCTCACCCATATACCTTCTAAGAATATTAGAATTGTATAATTAATAACTATTCCAGTCTCTTAATAATTATTTCCCAATTACAATTCACTTTACTCATTTAGAATCATTAACCCAACCTCATTTAGTTCGGTGCATTTTATTAGCCGATCCAAGTACCAAATTTCATTTTATAATTTATTGTGATTATCCTTCCAGTTTTATATGCTAATCGGCCCAATAGAATAAATGGAGGAAGTTCGTACTGTTTCTTCGTCATCTTCATCGTCAACTCCAGGCCACTGAACGGTTCTTCTCAGACGGCGACCGTATCAGCCGGGCAGATCGTGGGTTCTCTCCTTGGAAGTAGCAGCGGCAGCGACAGACGACTTCGGCTCCTTCTAGCAGCGGGTGACGGCGGCAATCAGTAGCCCCTCGACGCCGACGAAGGTGGCAGTGGTCCAGATGATTTATGGTGGATCCAGACAGTCCGACGCAAGCTCCTTTTCCGGTGATGAAGGCATGCAGCGGCGTTTGCTTTTCTCCGCCGTAGAAACAGACTGGCACACCGGCAGTGTTGCACCGGAAATTCTTCTTCTTCTGGCGACGCTGGCAGCGAACGATCCAATACCACCGTAGATTGGTAGCGACTCAGGCTAGCGAAGGTTGTTCCTTTCTCTTCTGCGGCGAGTGTGTCTTCGTACGCAGGCCTTCAATCGTAGCTCCGTATATATATATAGGCGTGATGGACTAGACTCTAGGGTTTCACGCGTAGAATGGTTTCGGCCGTTTCCATATACGGAGTAATGCGTACCAAATACGTAGTACATACCATGTGTTAGCATAGTTTGAAAAGTCATCTCTTAATATATTACTATATTAGTAATAGTAATAATTACGGAGTAGTAATTAGTATTATTATGTATACTTATGTTGGTGCGTGTGTTTTAGTGTATAAATATGAAACGGATCCACCCCATAACATCTGTTGTATAATTGGCAAGCCCCATAAAGTTTAAACAGACACTCCTAAAGATGTCACATTTATGATTTAAGTTAAAATTTTATGTGACCAAAAATGTGAGTTTGTCAATTGTTAAAATTTCATCTAATCAACGAAATTATCTATTATTTTGTTTAAATTTTCGGGGTGTCACATTCTACCCACCTTAAAAAGATGCTTCGTCCCCGAAGCACTTAATGTACTCAAGGAAAATAATTGATTCATTCAAGGTCAAAACGATACATGGTGAGGCTCTCAAAGAAATTTACTACTATAGATGACTAAGGATTTGTGTACGTGATTCTCTTTGTTATTCTCGATTTCTTCCATCGCGGATGACTTTCTTTCAATCGTCCATGAGTTGGAGAGATTCCCTTCTTCCTTGAACGACACTCAAACACTCTATGACCTAACTTGTCACAATAAAAACATCGCACGAGCGTTCCGTCACAGTGTTTTCCAGGGTGATCTTTTCCACATTTCGTACAGTAGAAGTGGGTCTCTTCTGCGGAGTTCATCTTCTTACACTTCTGCTTGTTGCCTTTGTTGTTGCTCTTGTCCACGTTCTGGTTCTCCCCAGGTTGATTTAGCTTGTGTCGTTTGCCTCCCCGTGTGCTTTCTTCTTTGGTGCCCTTTCTCGCTTTCTTAAGTGTTTCCTTCTGGAGCTGTTTCACTCGGTAATGCTTGGCAGCTTTGCCGTAGGCCTCATTCAGAGTTTGGCATTCTGTAACGCAAAGAGCTTTTTGTGTCTCGAAGTTCAAACCGCGTATAAACTTATTAGTTTTCTCGATTTCATCGGGAACTAGAGCGGGTGCAAATCGTGCGAGCTCTAAGAATTTGGCATGGTACTCTTGAACGGTCATACCCACTTGCTTCAAGTGTAAGAATTCTTCGTACTTTTCAGCTCTCACGTGCTCTGGGTAGAATCTTTCTCGTATTGCCTTCTTAAACGTCTCCCAAGAAAATTCGGGTTGTTGACGCAGTGTTGGGGCTGTCGTAGCCCACCAATTATCCGCCTCTTCACGTAAGTAGTATGCAGCCGTATCAACTCGTTGATCCGCGGGGCAGTTCATAGACTCAAAGAGTTTGTCAAAAGTGCGAATCCATTCCTCGAGGATGCGAGGATCTTCTTGTCCTAAATAGCTCGGGGGAGTACGCTTTGCTAAAAGTTTTGCTACATCATTACGGGTGTTGAGATGTTGTTGGTTTTGATTCTGCAGTAACACATTCGCGACAGTCTGGATGAGTTGTGTTAGTTGGACCATATTTTGAGCTAACTCCGAGTTCGTTGGTGCGGCATCATTGTTCTCGATGTTGTTCCTCGTTGACGTCATTGTCCCCTTGAAAAGGATAGCGTTTAGGATACAGATAAGAAATCTATCAAATAGCTTGTATTCACAATTTTACTACTCTAACCAATAACTCACTAATCAAATATTGTCTAAAGTTCTTCTATAAGTCCAAACTTATCCTCAAATAAACATATATGGATATGTCACACTTAAACATATCCCAAGAAAATCAAAAGAATCACAAACTCAACTGGAACCAAAACCAAAGTCTCACAACCTCACCCGCGCCTAAAATTTTATTTTAGACCTAGAAATTCTTACTTATTCCCTAGTATTTTAAGAAAACCTTTTGAAAAAAATCCCTTTAGAAAAATCACAGAATATATTTGAAAACAATTTAGAAAATCTCAAAAATTATTTTAAAACTTTTTAGAAAAAAAATGCTTTGAAAAATCTCCCAGACAAACCACGGGCTCTGATACCAACTTGTAACACCCCCAAATTTCCCACCCAAAAATAATACTTTATTCAAAAGAAATATTAACTTTATTCGAAAACATCAGAGTTTTGCAGCGGAAAACCAAAAGGGAAATAGGGGCGTTACCGCCACACTCAGTTCTCCCTTAACCGAGTGCACAGGCTAAAACAAATTAAACTCCAAAAATAATTATTCACTAACTAAAGATATTGAAAATGGAATTACAATGATTTACTAATTGTATTTTCTAGCGGAAGCTCTCTCGAAATCAACATCATCATCAAAGTGTTACCTGTACAAAATCAAGTACAGAAAGAAAAACAAAAGAAAACAAAAATTAGCAACAATGCTAAGTAAGTTCCACCTAACCCCATAAAATAATAAATAATAAAATTTAATGTTTTTGAAAAATATTTAGGAGGATTTTTTTTTAAACCATTTATAAAATCTTCTCATAGCATAATTCACTAGTAAAATAATAGTACCTCAAATATAAGCAAATATTTCCCAACCACAAAAATTACAAAAATACCAAATATACGTAAAACCACCAAATATCATTACAATAATTCCAAAGCATAAATCAAACACCAAATATCTCAAAATACTTAAAAATGCTGATAATGAAGAGTACTCAACATAATCAAACCAAATCAAATCCAAAAGTAAAACCCACAAATAATTTAACAACTCAATCCAAATATAATCCAATCCAATAATCCAACAATTCCAATCAATCAAATACCTTAATTCACCACAAATCCAATCAAATAATATTCACCTCAAGTCCAAATCAAGTCAATCAAATAATCTTAATCACCTCAATCCAATCAAAGTCCAGTTCACCTCAAACCCAATCAAAGCTAGTGGAAGCCGAACTCCTACCTTAAGTGTGCACACCCCCTAAAAGGGATTCCAAGCCCTCCGGGAAGTAAGAAGCCCGAGTAGTCGGGATTTTTCTACCAACTACACTACAATTAAGCTGGGATACTCCGCTTTTGGGAAGTACCCCTGGTGGATTTAGACTTATAGCCATTACCACTCACCAATACCACATTTATCCGGATGTGGCAAACCGACACCACGGATCTCTCCGGGTGCTCACCAAAATCACAATTCTTTCTCAAAGTTCCAAACCAATATCACAACATCAACCAAAACGGATATGAAATCCAAAGTCCACAAAATAATCCACAATGAAAAATATTAACTCCAACAAATTTCACTCAAATGTACCATACATTAAAATTTCGCAAAAGAGCCAAAATATAGAATACTTCACAAATAGCTCAAATCCACACAACAATTCACACGATAACTCAAATACTCAAAATATATCCAATACGGAATACTCAAATAACAATTCATAACAATTTCCAAATACTCAAATAAAAATCTCAATCGCAACTAATTTAATACGTAAATGTAATTGCTAGAAATCTCATCAAATACTCAAATAATTCAAATAAATAATCATAAATAGATTTGCGAGGAAAAGGTATAATTTTGGTTGATGTGAAACTTACCTCAAACTCCAAGTACTCTAGTGAAATCTTCTACGTTGCTCCTCACCCATATACCTTCTAAGAATATTAGAATTGTATAATTAATAACTATTCCAGTCTCTTAATAATTATTTCCCAATTACAATTCACTTTACTCATTTAGAATCATTAACCCAACCTCATTTAGTTCGGTGCATTTTATTAGCCGATCCAAGTACCAAATTTCATTTTATAATTTATTGTGATTATCCTTCCAGTTTTATATGCTAATCGGCCCAATAGAATAAATGGAGGAAGTTCGTACTGTTTCTTCGTCATCTTCATCGTCAACTCCAGGCCACTGAACGGTTCTTCTCAGACGGCGACCGTATCAGCCGGGCAGATCGTGGGTTCTCTCCTTGGAAGTAGCAGCGGCAGCGACAGACGACTTCGGCTCCTTCTAGCAGCGGGTGACGGCGGCAATCAGTAGCCCCTCGACGCCGACGAAGGTGGCAGTGGTCCAGATGATTTATGGTGGATCCAGACAGTCCGACGCAAGCTCCTTTTCCGGTGATGAAGGCATGCAGCGGCGTTTGCTTTTCTCCGCCGTAGAAACAGACTGGCACACCGGCAGTGTTGCACCGGAAATTCTTCTTCTTCTGGCGACGCTGGCAGCGAACGATCCAATACCACCGTAGATTGGTAGCGACTCAGGCTAGCGAAGGTTGTTCCTTTCTCTTCTGCGGCGAGTGTGTCTTCGTACGCAGGCCTTCAATCGTAGCTCCGTATATATATATAGGCGTGATGGACTAGACTCTAGGGTTTCACGCGTAGAATGGTTTCGGCCGTTTCCATATACGGAGTAATGCGTACCAAATACGTAGTACATACCATGTGTTAGCATAGTTTGAAAAGTCATCTCTTAATATATTACTATATTAGTAATAGTAATAATTACGGAGTAGTAATTAGTATTATTATGTATACTTATGTTGGTGCGTGTGTTTTAGTGTATAAATATGAAACGGATCCACCCCATAACATCTGTTGTATAATTGGCAAGCCCCATAAAGTTTAAACAGACACTCCTAAAGATGTCACATTTATGATTTAAGTTAAAATTTTATGTGACCAAAAATGTGAGTTTGTCAATTGTTAAAATTTCATCTAATCAACGAAATTATCTATTATTTTGTTTAAATTTTCGGGGTGTCACAGGGATTTGGGAGGTGAGTGTGGGGGAGATGGAGTTGGTTGCAAAGGAAGTAGAGGGGTAGGAGATACTGGTATTGCCTCTAAAACTGTTTCTTCAACTGGAGACTCTCTCCATTCTCTGATAAGGTTCTGCATTGCCAGAGATATATCATTGGCAGTTGAGGGTTCACCCTCTGCACCTGGAAGGGGTTTCATCTTGATGAGAGACTCCCTTCTTTTCTTCTCCATCAGCCATGCATCAAAGATGGGAATCTCACTCTCTGATAGAGGCTTGACATGCTCTTCTGAAGGTGAAGCAGTCATCTTCTCTTTTCCCTTGAGGCTTTCCTTTTTCTTTTCCAACACAGAATGCAAGAATTGAAGATCAAAGCATAGTGAAATATCGTCTGTACCTGACCATTTGAGGACTTCTTCTTCCTCAGATTCAAAGGCTGCTGCTTGGGCAAGTATTTGCTGCAGAGGTCCCATTCTCCATTTTCTCCATGAGAGCACCCTTTGAAACTGTCTGTCTAGAGCAGTAGTAGAGGTTAGCTGTTCTGTTGGGGTCATGGTGACTTGCAGATCTGGTGCAGATAAAGGTTGGACCTCTGATTCAGGTTCCCCCTGAGCATCAGAGATCACCAGTGCAGTAGCCAACTCTGGTGCTGGTTCCCCCTGAGGTTCTGATTCCTTGGGGGGAGAGTTGGTCTTCTTCTTCTTCTTCTGGATTCTGATAGGAGATTTTGAACTATCAGAGTCACTCTGAATGACGGCTCTTCTTCTCCTTTTCTGGCTCAACATCTTGACAGGAGTGACTTTGGGGGCCACAACAGAGGCTTCTTTCTCTGATGCATCCTCCTCTGATGCATCCTCCTTGGTTACCTCTTCCTCTGGCTTTGAGTGAGGCTTCCTTTTCTTAGGCTTTTCATCCTTTTTGACCTTGAGTTGGGTAGCAGCAGCCACAGGTTTAATAGCCTGCTTCTCCCTGTTTTGTTCAAGCTTGTTGGATTTCTTCAGTTCAGCAGCAATGGCCACGTTTACTTTGGGAGAGATGGTGAGGAAGATGGTCTTCGTGTGGTCCACAGAGGTGGCTTCTCTGAGAGCTATCTTGGAGTTAGAGATGAGCCTGGAGATCAGAAGTCCGTGACCCATCTTTGTAGAGAACATACCAGTCTTTTTGTCCTTCTTGGAGATGGATTCAGAAATGGATTGGAACAGCACTTTACCCCAGTTGATGTTCATCCCCCTGTGAACAACATATAGGGCTTTTGAGTTGGTGTGATTCATCTGATCAGTTGAACTTGTTTTGCACCACAAGCACCGATGCATAATGCTCATCAGCCTCTCAAAGTCCTTCTTGAGAGCATTCTTTTTCATATACAGGGTTTCTACGCCTGTTGCATCCTCTCGGCAGTAGGTTGTTACGAAGTTTTGAACTGTGATGTTCACATCATCAAGCTCGATGAAGTCAGTGGTGCCCTCCTCTTGAGGCTCCAGAGTGACGCCAAAGAACTCGTTGAGAGCATCGGCATCAATTTTGAGGTTCTGACCCTGAACCTGTGAGTGGATAGTATTGTTGGAGATATACGCGTTGAGGTAGAATTCTGCGACATCAATGTTGCTGAAATGCTCATAGGGATGAGCAACGATCTTGTTCAACTGGGAATCACTCATTCCCTGGATCACTTCGTTCATGATCTTCTGATTTGTTGCCAACAGTGGTAGTGAGGACATATCTACCTTCATTCCTATGACAATGTTGCTCACTAGGGTCTTAGCTTCAGATTCAGAAAGATCGGTGATGTTGATGAACTTCATTTTCAGTTTAGTGAGGAGTTTGAGAGGACTGAAGGTTGAGAGTTTAGAGAGATAAAGCTTGAAGACGAAAAGAGAAATTGCAGTAGCGATTTAGGTTTCAGAAAAGGTATATAAGGATTTGGGTTAGTGGACGTTTGATATAATATACGGTTCCGAGGTCGCAATTAATGGAATGCGGGCGGAAAGCCGTTTTCCAAAAGTGGTAATAACTACCGGGGGTAAAAGGGTAAAACCCAGTTTATTGAATAGTCTCGCCCGAAATTTAGAAAATTTTTCTAAGTCCACAGCCACTCTGATAAATAACAGTCCATATATCAGAGAAGGAGTGTTCTGATACAGGGTCCTCTGATGAATAAGCGTATCAGAGGTGGTGAATCCTGATAGATCCATATCTGATGCTTCTGCAATTCTGATCCAAGCTTCTGATGGATAAGAGTTTTGGGTATCAGCGATGGGGTGTTCTGATGAATCCACATCTGATACTTCTGCAACTCTGATTCATGTATCTCTGGGAAGATCATCCATCATTCCCAGTTCTTCCCTTAGCTTGTTAAACCTTGCCTCTGAGAGAGGTTTGGTTAAGATATCTGCAAGTTGGTCCTCAGTTGGTACATGCTCAATTGAGATATGCTTCTTCTCCACATGATCTCTGATGAAGTGATGTCTGATCTCCATATGCTTTGTCCTGGAATGCAGCACAGGATTCTGAGTGATTGCAATGGCACTGGTATTGTCACACAGCAACTTGATCTCCTTTGCTTGCACTCCATAATCCTTGAGTTGTTGCTTCATCCAGAGTAATTGAGCACAGCAGCTTCCAGCAGCAATATACTCAGCTTCAGCAGTGCTAGTTGAGATTGAATTCTGCTTCTTGCTAAACCAGGAGACAAGTCTCCCACCTAGCAATTGACAATGACCGGAAGTGCTCTTCCTGTCCAATCTACAACCTGCAAAATCTGAATCAGAATAACCAATTAGTTCAAAATTACCTCCCTTGGGATACCATAGTCCTGCATTTGGATTTCCTTTGATATATCTGATAATCTTCTTAGTAGCAACTAGATGGCTCTCCTTGGGCTTTGATTGGTATCTGGCACAGATTCCTACTGCAAAAGCTATGTCTGGTCTACTTGCAGTCAGATAGAGGAGAGATCCAATGATTCCTCTATAAGTTGTTGCATCAACATCTTTGCCTTCATCATCTGGTCCAATGCCTTGAGATGCATTCATTGGAATCTTGACTGAAGATTTTCCATCTACTCCAAACTTCTTGATGAGATCTCTGGTGTACTTTCCTTGGTTGATAAAGATGCCTTCTGGTACTTGTTTGACTTGTAATCCAAGAAAGTAACTGAGTTCTCCCATCATGCTCATTTCAAACTTCTTCTGCATAACTTGAGAAAATTTCTTGCATAATTCTGGATTAGTGCTTCCAAATATAATATCATCAACATAAATTTGCACTAACAGAATATGATTAGCAACAGAAATTTGAAATAGAGTTTTGTCAACCTTTCCTTTAGTAAACCCATGGTTCACTAAGAATAGTGACAATGTGTCATACCAAGCTCTGGGAGCTTGCTTAAGACCATAGAGGGCCTTTCTGAGCTTGTAGACACAAGAAGATTGAGTAGGAATGACAAAACCTGGAGGTTGTTCAACATAGACTTCCTCTTCCAATTCTCCATTCAGGAATGCACTCTTGACATCCATCTGGTAGACTTTGATGTCATTGTAGGCAGCATAGGCTAGGAATATCCTGATTGCTTCCAGTCTGGCAACAGGTGCAAAGGTCTCATCAAAATCTATGCATTCTTCTTGACAGTATCCCTTTGCTACAAGCCTTGCTTTATTTCTTACAATGTTGCCTTCTTCATCTGCTTTGTTCTTGAATACCCACTTGGTTCCAATGACATTCTGATGCTTGGGCCTAGGAACGAGTTTCCATACTTCATTCCTTTCAAACTGTGTCAGCTCTTCTTGCATTGCGTTGATCCAGTCTGAATCTTCTAGGGCTTCTTCCACATTCATTGGTTCCATCTGAGATATGCAGCAGGTGAACATGGCTTCTCTTCTTGATGCAGATCTGGTCCTGACACCACTGGTGACTTGACCAATTACTTGATTAGGAGGATGATCTCTTAACCAAGTTAGATCAGGTTCTGACAGTTGCTGTCTAGGCAACTCTGATGGTTCATCTTCTGATTCTTCATCATTGTCTTTGTCTATCAGAACTGGATTAGTAATAGGAGTTGAGAGTACTGGATTAATAGTGACCTCTTCTGATAGTTCTGAAACCTTATCTTCAAGATTGATTTTCTGCAGGGTTTCTGAAATTTCTTCAGCAGAGGTGCTATCATCAAATTTGACATGAATGGATTCTTCAACTTGTAGAGATCTCCTGTTAAGTATTCTATAGGCTTTGCTTGAACTTGAGTAGCCTAAGAATACACCTTCATCAGCTTTTTCTTGAAATACTTTCAGGTTCTCCTTTCCATTGTTTAGAATGTAGCACTTGCATCCAAACACATGGAAGTAGCTGATGTTTGGCTTTCTTCCTTTCCACAGCTCGTAGGGGGTCTTCTGATGATTCTTGTGGATCATGCTTCTGTTTTGAGTGTAGCATGCAGTGTTGATTGCTTCAGCCCAATATCTGATGGGCAAGCCTGATTCAGCAATCATTGTCCTTGCAGCTTCTTTCAGTGTTCTGTTCCTTCTTTCTGCAACACCATTTTGTTGGGGTGTTCTGGCAGCAGAAAGTTGATGGAAGGTGCCATTCTGATCACAGAAGTCCTTGATCACTTTGTTGACAAATTCAGTTCCTCTGTCAGATCTGATTGTCCTGACC